AAAAAAAAAAAAAAAAGAATGAACTGGCAAGTCAATGGAGCTCCCCTTGGTGTTGCAAACACACACCAATGTCCAATGGCTCAGCGTGTAATGTACCAGCATTTGTCCCTGGTATAAAACCCAGCTGATTGCAAAGGCTTTGTTAAGCATCAGGTCTTGGAAGTGCTTACCCTTTGTGATGTATAAAATGATGTACAGACTCCATCAATCAAACCTCCATTCATTTGATAGCCACCATGTTCTCATCCAAGCTCACTGTGGATTCATCTGCTCCCAAAACACTAAGTAGAAACAACCCCACTTCCAACATCCACAGAACTTACAGATCAGAGATATCCCTCTCTTCGTTTTTCAGGTTAAAAGATGCTTGCTTGAACAGAACCAGCTAAAACTGTCTTCATTTCTGGGCTCTATACTTGACTGCCGGTAATTTTATGTTCTTTTGATCCCTAGACCATGAGATGTATCTATTGGAAGTAAAATACACATTCCCACACAGAAGCTATTTTATATCTATTCCCACATTTCTACACAGAATGCTATGTGGTCAGCCCAAATCAGCAGAAAATGCTCCTCTTATACACACTGATCTTTTGAAAAGTACCAGAATGTATCCCTAAGATACTAAAAAATTTCTTGTTCTTTGCTGATACAAGTTCTTACCAAAGCTGGCCTATAATTCTACTACTATTTAAATAGATTAGTAACCCCGATACTCACTCTCTACCCTCTATCACTGAAAAGTACACTGAGATTCTAGAAGTCTGACATGGAGTAAAAGTTGCTTAATTTAGATCCTCACAACCTTCATTTTACTCTAGTCTAATTCTTACTTCTTTCTCTCCAAGACTCTGCCCAGATATATCTTCAACATCTCCTCAAATACCTATGCAATCCTTAGCCTGGTGGTTAATTTAAACTGAACTTAAAAAAAAAAAAAAAAAAAAAAACTTATTTCAAAGTACTGTTGGTTGTCACAGTACCTTAACCTTAAGAGATAGAGTTATTTAAGTTCAACAAGAATTTTACTTAGTGCCTAGAGGATGCCCAAATGGAAGCATCAACAGTACCCAGCACATGACAGATGTGACATGTGAGTCTTGGGTGACAGGCACAGTTGAGAAAGGCAGACAGAAAGGAGACAGACAGTCAGCCAAGCTGGAATATTCAGGGAAAGGACGGGATGTTCTGAGTGGAGCACAGAGTGGGACAGGCCCTTGTGACAGGTAAGAGCTTCTGAAGTCAAGCTAAGATTTAATTGAATTAACAGGAGAACTGGGGCTTTGCCTACTGCTGGCTTCCAGTGGGATGAGACCCTAATCAATGGGAGTGTGAGCCAAGCAAGCCAGACCCTTCAGTACATATCATAATTGCTTTATCTTCAAGCAGGGATGAAAGGAAAACAAAGATTTGAATTCCCAACATTATTTCAACTAAAAGAAAAATTACCAGCTTACAGCAACAACAACAAATAACAAAATGTTGAATTGAATAAAATGAAATAGAAAGTTTGGGGTTAAAACAAATACATACCTTGGCATGATGTAAATCAACTCCATACATGGATAGTTTTTTGGCATTTTCCAAGAAATGCATTTCTGCTTCTGCTGGTGTCATTCCTCTGATATAGGGGGAAAGAAAAGGGTTACATTGCTGCCTCCCCTTTGCCTGACAGAGCTGTAGCATGCCTCACTTAGGTCCCTTGCTATCTAAGGAAGAGCCAGGATAGTGCATGTATCTCTGTGGGAAGGGGAGAGGGAGAATAACAAAAGAATGAGTTTGAGGTCAAGTTTTAACTGAATCAACAGGAAATTTCAGGTTTTACAAACATTACAAAGAACTCCAGAATGTTCTGAGGGAGACAGAGCTTAACTATATCAAGACTTCACCATGTATAGACTCCCATTTGGCTAAAGTCCTCATCTTTAATTTATTGAAATCATGGAAGATGGGTTTGTACAAGTGAAACTCACCCATTAAGGTAAAACAGAAATATAATGAATGCCCATAGGGCTTCTGCGACTGACCTGTGGCTCTTGTGCAGTTCAATCACTTTGTCTTCCAGTTCTTTAGTGTGGTTTGGTGCAAAGCGGAATTCACTAACATAATCGTTACCACATTCATCAGGATCATAGTCTCCCAGTTCTGATTGTACTGTGTAAGAGCCCAACAGGGCAAGGGTCACAAAAGAGCAGGGCAGCCTTCCAGAAACAATGTCATCTCGCAATTGTAGGCAGAGGTAGTACCTTCCAGGAGCCAACAGACAAATCAAAAAGCCAACATTAGGACACATAGAAAGGAGAATATTCAGTATGGGCTGTGTCGTAAATAATTTCTCCCTGCTGAATCAACTCACCAGACAAATTTTCTAACATCTATGTTTTGATCTAGATATAAGGAAAAATTACTTGGCTACAAAATGGAATATTTAAGTACATCTAGAAGTAAGTTGGGAGCTCTGGTAGCACAGTGGCTAAGGCACTTGACTGCTAACCAGGAGGCTGGCGGTTCAAACCCACCAGTCACTCCTCGGAAGGAACGTTGGGCAATCCTACTTCCGTAGTGATACTGCCTCGGAAACCCAAGGAGGGGTCGCTATGAGTCAGGGCTGACTCGATGGCACATAACAACAACAAGAACAGAAGTAAGTTCAATATGAAACAGAATTTTATTAATCAAATAAGGAGCTCTGGTGGTATAATGGGTAAGGCACTAGGCTGCTAACCAGAAGGTCAGCGGCTCAAATCCACCAGCTGCTCTGTGGAAGGAAGATAAGGCAATCTACTTCTGTAAGGCTTCACAGCCACAGAAACCCAGTGGGGGTCACTATGAGCTGGAATTGACTTGAGAGCAGTGGGTTTGGCTTACTAATACAATGCAGAGTAAGAGAAACCTAAAGACATATTCCTTTAACATTTTTTAAAATAATTTAAAAAGTCAAATGAAGAGTCCCCAGTATAGTCCCTGAAATCTTTGCTTAGAGTAAATTACAATAAAAAATAACGTTCTTAGATATAATTATTAGGCTCCAAGTAACTTTAAAGAAGTCTCACTTTGATATATGGATTAAAGGTCTTCCCAAATGACTGAGTGAGATTTCAGGCACTTCGACAGCTACACCATCATAAACTCTGATCTCAATTTCCTGCATCCCTCATGACAGTCTCTTTACAAAAAAGAAATAATTTCTCCTAAATTCTTATTTATTGATTTAATTAACTTCCTGGAATCTGATGTAATGACTCACTGATGTAATGACTCAGAATCTTAAGCTGAGAGCCTTGGTACTACAAGTAAGAGTTTTAAATTGGGGGAGTGTAAAACATTTTCCCAGGATGTAATAAAAGTATCTCCACTAAGAGATGACTTGTCTTCTCTATTATTTTGTTTTCAGGATCTACAGATATAACAATAACCAATGAAGACCTCAAGTTAACTGTTAACATTGGTAAGTTTTAATAATGTCTACCATGGCCTCATATAAGAGCACGATAATAAAATAAACCTTGTACCTTTCATAAAAAAAGCAAATTGTAATCTGTTGGGATAGATAATGTCTGAAGTTCCGCTGTAAGCATGATTTTAAGTTGGCGATATAAGTAAACTCCAGATATTAACACACAAAAATCCCCAAATATTTAACAGGTCCTAAAAAGATTCCACAAGTAGATATAAAGAAGTCACGCACTAACTTTTCAAATGCAGGAATATACAGGCTGTATAAGGAACCTGGTCGCACAAGGGTTAAGTGCTCAGCTGCTAACTCAAAGGTTTGAACCCACCAACCACTGCATGGGAGGAACAGGTGGGGGGATGGGAGTGGAGAGACCTGGTGGTCTGCTCCTGGAAAGAATACAGCCTATGAAACCCTATGGGTCAATTCTACTCTGTCCTATAGAGTCACTGTAAGTCAGAATTGACTCAATGGCACACAACAACTACTGCTTAGGCTCTGTAAACACAATTTACCCATAATTAAATGGTTCCTAAAACATCCAAAGTTATCTTTAAATAAGAAACTACGTCTATAAAAGTTCTCTGATTTAATGCAAACATAAAGGAGATCCTCTGGAACTAGTTTTTATTCTTCTCCTAATATGGCAGCATAGTGCCTAAGGCACTTGACTGCTAACCAGAAGGCTGGCAGTTCAAACCCACCAGCCACTCCTCGGAAGGAAGACTGGACAATCTACTTCCGTAGAGATACTGCCTAGGGAGAAGCCTAAGGAGGGGCTGCTATGAGTTGGAATAGACTTAACGGCAATGGTTTGGTTTTGGTTTTTTCAGTTCCTAATATGTCTGGTAAAGTTTTTTTAATCATAACAAGTGATTCAAGCTGTTCTGAGTAACTTCACATTCTAAAAGCCCTCCAAGGATGTCAGGCTTACACAGAATATTCAGTATACACTGCACACAATCACTCTGCCTGGCCACAAACTAACAAAGCAGGAGAGTCAAGGGTTCCAGAGCAGAATGAAGAGGGGAATAAAAGAACATAGACCAAACCCCGCGTACTTTATAATGAGGTACTTTCAGATTCCATCACCAAGCTGAAACATTTTTATGTTAATTCTTTTCTTAACATCTTTCTAGAGAAGAAATAAATCCTCTTTCTATAAATAGGGTACAAAAAGTAAACTCCTAAATGTATGTGTGTGAATGTGTATCTATACATGTGTCTCTGTGTATGTGTACATATGTGTGTGTCATTTTTTAAACAGTTGTCAAGCACCAAACATAAAAAGCATACCTATTCAAAGATGTATCTTCCCACCAAGTTTTAAAGCATGAGCACTGAGAAGTGCTACCTCATTTAAGGCTGAATCTCATCCAATTTGGCTGTGGTGGGTGGATTAGAGCCTCTCAATTCAGCATGTTTTCCTACCAGGGTCAGGCAGAAGGAAGTAACAGCCTAGCATCAAATATTCAACTGTGAACAGATATGACTTGAAAAATCCTCCCATCAGATGTTTGCTCTCAGTTACTTGCCTTCTGTTTGCCATTTGGGTGTGGATGATTGTGAGGTGACCAGATATAAGCACACTCTTCTCCACAGAGTTTAAGAGAAACATAACTCCCCTCTTATACTCGCCTTTTCACAGCCTGTGTTCAATTACCTGGTGATATCTTCAGATAGCTGGGCAGGGTCTGGGGGGTAAAATTTCACATTAAATGAAAAGTGCCAAGCACCACCTGCAGAGAAGGGAGAAAATATCAAATAAAACCTCAGAAAATCTCTTTCTACTTATGGTTCTAACTGATAGCCAGAATTGCCTTCACTCCAAGCATTAACATCAGGGAACTTTTGATCACCTGTGCTACTGGAGAACACGGATAAGTCTGAAACCTCATATAATTTCTAATCTTCTTCTCAACCAAATCCTTTACTGGTACTGATAAGTAGCAAGGAAAGTGACTAACCTTTCTTCCCTTTCAAGGCTAAAGTTAAACATTTGGAAAAAAGGAAAAAAAAAAAGTGATGATATGCATAATCTTCAACAGACAAGTCTGGAACTGAATGGATTTATTGCTGTGAATTTCTGGACAGCTCACATACAAAAATTACAGGCATAATTCCCATTTCCTTTGTCCTTTCTTCTTTGTTATTGCAGGTCAAACGCTATTATAATAAATGTCAGAGTACTATTCAAACTATTTTTATTTTATGCAAAAGGCCTATTAGAGAAAGATGGCTTTAATGAATGGGCTGCTGAGAATTCTTTTTTTCCTCAGGAAATTTTTGATTAAATAGACACTTGAATGTATTTCCTGTGCATCCCAAATTCCGTATGTCCTTAGTTCTTGACTTGGACTGATACTCTTTACTTTTTGCCAGTCTTTCTCCTGTGTCCTCTCCCTAAAGCTTTTCTAGCAGTGAGGTATTAGCTTTCAGGCACTTGCTCTCTCTATTGTCTCCACTCACACTCCAAACACTATTAATTCCTACTAAGCATGACATTTTATTAGTACTATCTCCAATCATGTATGGATATCACTATAAACATGAAAGAGGAAAATTTTAAAAAGAATACTTTCAACATTTAATCTCTATATGATCACTCTTTTTAACTCACTTAAAATAACAACAACAACAAAGTTTACTTTCTTCTTTCCTCACCTCTAAATGGAGTAATTTATCTAAGTGTGAGGTGTTTTTTTTTTTTTCTGGGACACTGTTTACACTTGTTCCCTCCAACTAATAGAAGTGCCCCAGTCCAGGTCCTGTTTATATTCTGAATGGACTCCTGCAACATTCCTCACCATCTCCCTGGCTTCTGCTGTGGGAGCCCTTCGTTTACTGTAGCCATGGTCTTGCTCTTATTCCGTGATTCCGTGACCAGCCCTTATGCTTCAAACACTCTCCTGAGACTTCCAAATACTCCCTCTTTCCCATTAAATGTCTTCTGGAAATTCCATAAGCCATTTCCAAACAGTCAGAAGAAAAGGACAGTATTATGAGAGTTTCATAGCTCCCTTTCTTTTCACTACTCTCTTCTATATGTACCAAGCGCTTACCTTCACAGATTTCCTATATTTCTGTCATCAATAGACTATGTCTATTTATTAATTCTACTTTATTCTTGACACTAAGATTCTACATGGCAGGAATAATAATATGACTCATAAAACTATTTAAAATATATTTTTAGTGAATATTTTTTCATTGTTGTCAAAAAGACCTCTGTTATTCTGAAAACAGCCTGAGCTTCACTTTTCTATTGATTTCCTACTGAAATAGAGCCCTTCAAAATTTGCCAATGGTGACGTTCATAATGAGAGCCACTGTCCTCAACCAAGTGGAATTAAGACTAATGGATAATTATGTGAAATGGATTTATTGCTTTTATATATATATAATTTTTATCCACTTCAAAGTGTATCTTGAATCCAGTGTAATTAAGTGACCTTGTAATAAATTTGGGGTAAAAAGTTTGAGGTTGGAAACTAATGAGGAATAAAAGCATAGATATGTCAATTTAAAAAAATCATTACTCCAGCAAAAAAAGAGATTCTATGGGCAAAATATTGAATGATGCAGGAAACATTAAGAGAAGATGGCAAGAATACACAGAGTCACTGTACCAAAAAGAACTGATCGATCTTCATCCATTTCAGGAAGGGGCATATGATCTAGAACCAATGATAATGAAGGAAGAAGTTAAGCTAGAAGTTAAGCTGCAATGAAAGAACTGGTGAAGAACAAGGCTCCGGGAATTGATGGCATACCGATTGAGATATTTCAACAAACAGATGCCCCATTGGAGGCACTCACTCAGTTATGCCAAGAGATTTGGAAGACAGCTAGCTGGCCAACTGACTGGAAGAGATCCATATTTGTGCCCATTCCAAAGAAAGGTGATCCCACAGAATGTGGAAATTATAGAACAATACCATTAATATTGCATGCAAGTAAGATCTTACTGAATATAATTCAGAAACGTTTGCAGCAGTCTATTGACAGAGAACTTCCAGAGGTTCAAGCCGGATTCAGAAGAGGACATGGAACAACAGCTGTTGTCAGATGGATCTTGGCTCAAGGCAGGGAATACCAGAAAGATGTTTAGTTGTGTTTTCTTGACTATGCAAAGGCATTTGATTGTGTGGATCATGACAAATTATGGATAACATTGAGAAGAATGGCAATTCCCGAGCACTTGATTGTACTCATGAGGAATCTGTACCTTGACCAGGAGGCTGTCGTTTGAACAGAACAAGGGGACACTACATGGTTTAAAATCAAGACAGGAGTGCATCAGGGTTGTATTCTTTCTCCACACTTATTCAATCTATATGCTGAGCAAATAATCCGAGAAGCTGGACTATATGAAGAAAAACGTGGTATCAGGATTGGAGGAAGAATCATTAACAACCTGAGATATGCAGATGATACAACTTTGCTTGCTGAAAGTGAGGATGACTTAAGGCACCTACTGATGAAGGTTGAAGAATACAGTCTGCAGTATGGATTACGTCTCAATATAAAGAAAACAAAAATCCTCACAACTGGACCAATGAGCAGCATCACAATAAATGAAGAGAAGATTGAAGTTGTCAAAGAATTCATGTTGCTTGGTTCTACAATCGATGCCAACAGAAGCAGCAGTCAGGACATTAGACAACGTGTAGCATTGGGAAAGTCAACTGCGAAGGAACTGTATCAAGTGCTGAGGAGCAAGGATATCTCCTTGAGGACTAAGGTGTGCCTGACACAAGCCATGATATTTCCAATCGCCTGGTATGCATGTGAGAGCTGGACAATGAATAAGGAAGACTGAAGAAGAGTTGATGCTTTTGAGTTGTGGTGCTGGCGAAGAATGCTGAAAGTACCATGGACTGCTAAAAGAACTAACAGATCTGTCCTGGAGGAAGTGCAGCCAGAATGCTCCTTGGAAGCAAGAATGGCCAGACTTCGTCTCACCTATTTTGGTCATGTTGTAAGAAGGGACCATTCCCTGGAGGAGGATGTCATGCTTGGTAGGGTGGAGGGTCAACGAAAGAGGGGGAGGCCTTCAACGAGATGGATTGACACAGTGGCTGCAATGATGGGCTCAAGTATAGCAGGGATTGTGGGGCTGGCGCGGGATCGGGCAGTGTTTCGTTCTGCTGTGCATGGGGTCGCTATGAATCGGAAATGACTCGATGGCACTTAACAACAACAACAACCAGCAAAGAGACTTTCAAGCCACAGTGGGCCCAAGAATGCTAAAATGCTAACTGGAACCCCTCCCTAGAGATATTCATTCCAGAGTTTTGGGATATATTCTAAGAACTTGTGATTTTCATAAGCCCCCTTGTGGTTCAAATACAGGGAGGCTTGGGGACCACATTTTGAAAGTTACTACTTCTAAGGAATTCAACCAAGGCTTAATTAGCCATTTCTGCCACCCAGTAAGTTAAGCAGAGGGTCAGTGAAAATGACTACGATAAGATCCTCAATGAGATTGACTGACACAGTGACTGCAACAATGAGATCAAACATAACAATGATTATGAGGATGGTGTAGGACCAGGAAGTGTTTTGTTCTGTTGTACATGGAGTCACTTTGAGTTGGAACTAACTTGAGGGCACCTAACAACAAGAACTCCAAATCATTACAAGTTTTCACAAGGTGTTATTTTGAAAAAGGGAAAGTTTAAGGTACCTACAATCTATATCCTAATCAAGAAAACATCCACTTAAATCAGACATAAAACTAGCAATGAATAAGAAAGGCAGAAAAAACTTAAATATATATCCCAGTAAAGTGAAGAATTCTATAGAAACAAATCAACTGGAAGGCTGTGCTTATGCAATGACTGAGACTGCAACCCTGTATTTCTCAGTTGATGGCTGGCTCTATTTAGAAGCAGGAAATGAAATAGCTTGAAAATATTAAAATGAGTATTTCTATGATGCTAATATAGGATTTTAAATAGCAAATTTATGACAAATAGAAAACTGTGAAACTGAGTAGAGTTCATTCTTATAAAGGAATTCTAATTTTAGCAGATCATGCATGCTGAATCTTAACATTTCTTAATACAGACACAGAGAGATGCACAAGAGAGAGATAACAAAGATCAACACTTTTATATACACAGTACTGCATCATCAGTAATAAACATTAATCTATGGGTGGACACATACGTAGACACTAAATGATCAGGTATGCCTGGGAAAAGGGGAATATACCCATGGCCATATATAAATATGGCAGATGATATTTCCACATATGTATTTGTATGTGCTAAGAACGTCCATATATACAATAGAGCTAACAGGGTAAAATTATGATAACTTCTTAGCCACAGCCAAATACCCTGAGGAAAGGAGTCCCTGGGCCCACGAGCTCAGGACCATGGTTGCAGGGGACATCAAGCTCAACTGTATGTGCATAACAGTATGTGCATAACATACTGCACAAAAACATTGTTCTACATCCTAATTTGGTGAGCAGCGACTGGGGTCTTAGAGTTTGCAAGCAGCCATCGAAGATGCAACAGTTGATCTCTCCTTGTTCAGAGCAAAGAAGGATGAAGGAAATGAAAGACACATGGAAATAATTAGTCCAAGGGACTAGTAGACCATGCAAACCTCAGCCTACATGACCCTGCAAAGAAGAACTAGATGGTGCCCGGCTACTATTGTTTACCACTTGGAAAGGAATGAAAATGGGAGATCCTAGACAGAGTGGGAAAAAAACATGGAATAAAACTCAAAATCATGAAAAAGACCAGGCTCACTAGTCTGATAGGGACAGGTGAAACTTTTAAGACTATGGTTCCTAGTCACCCTTCAGGTCTGGAACTGAACTTACTATTATGGCTTCCAGCCTAGCAACAGACAGGAATATAAGGTGGACATTTATACCGGGCAGGTACATTCCTCACAACAAGCAACCATGAGAGATCAGAAGGGCAGTATCTGCACAGGGAGATAGCTCAGAGGGCAGGAATGCATAGGACAAAAGGACACAGAGAAAATATAACTATATAGAGGGAGTGGGGAGAAAGCTGTTACATTATGAGGACACTGCACATGGGGACATGACATTGCAATCAGTGTCATGAAACAAAATGTATATGAACTATTGTATGGAAAATGAATTTGCTCTGTAAACTTTCACCCAAATCACAATAATAAAATAAATATACTACATTTATATCATGAAATTACTAATCATATATATATAAATTAGTATATCATAAATATACTGTGTAGGATATTTAGAAATTTTAAGATTCAGCATGCATAAAAGATGACTAAAATTAGGATTTTTTCATATGAATGAATTCTTCAGTTCCACAATTTTCTATTTTTCATATATTTATAATTTAAAATTCTCTATCAACTCAATCTTCATTCCCTTGCAGATTTCATTCTACAAACATATACTGGACCTACAGTATTAAAATAAAAGATGGAAACACCCTTTACTGCCTATGTTGAGGAAGAAGAGATGGTGGTACCAAATTACATTAATGTGATAAACACTCTGTCTTGGTAGAATATAATCTTTATAGAAAGAAGGTATTTTAGTGGATGAGAAACAAACAATATAAAAATATTAAATTCCTTTTAAAAAAAAAATTCTAATTTGCCCTTCCTCCTCTTTTATCTGCAAGACTATCACTTAGGTTTCTTCACATTGCAGTCACACTGCCTGACTTGCATGATGGAAACAGCCTTTAAATCGCATGTTCTGATTGTGCTGTTAGCTTTTCCCTTAGAAAGGAAGACGGGAGGCAGTATGACTTGGAGGTTCAAGGAAACAAATTAAAAAGACAGACCATTTCATACAGGCCTTCTTGTAACAGGATTATGGCTTATCCTTGAAAATTTTACATATGCAATTATTAATCAGCCAACTACAAAGCAGTGTTTCATTAACTAGATGAACACAGATTTTATATACAGTGTTATTATATATATCCGCTTTCAGTAACTCCATAAAATGATCCTTAAAGTATATTCATCATCTTAAATTTTTTATTAGGACTCCCTGAACAAAAAATAGTGTTTCCACTTATTTATTGTCCCTGATTAAATCCCAATTTATTACTTCTATTTCTATCAAATTACTTCAGTATTAAGTTTCTGGTGAAAAGATACATCAAATTTCTCTCAAAAATATGGTAAGGATATTTGAATTGGATAGTGTTTTAATCATTTTCCTGAGATGTTATATATTATCAAATATTTTAAACACTTGAATAATAACCTGTATCTCTTTTTAAAGAGCCTGTAATTCTTTCTCTTACTAATTCAAACTGCCTTTTTAAACTACTTATTTTTTTATTAGCACTTGGAGTATTTTGAAGGAGCTCTGGTGGTGCAGGGGTTAAGGCATCTGGCTTTAATCAAAAAGTCAGTGATTCTAACCCACCAGCCACTCCACAGAAGAAAGGTAAGGCAGCCTGCTTTCATAAAGATGTACAGCCTTGGAAACCCTATACAGACGAAACTCACTGCCATTGAGTGGGATTCGACTCAGCGACCCCTCCTTGGGTTTCTGAGGCAGTATCTCTACAGAAGTAGATTGCCCAACCTTCCTTCCAAGGAGTGGCTAGTGGGTTTGAACCTCCAGCCTACTGGTTAGCAGTCAAATGACTTAGGCACTACACTACCAAAGCTCCCTGGTAAGCCTATGGGGGGGGGTCGCTATGAGTCAGAATCAACTCAGTGGCAATGAATTTGAGTATTTTGAGGTCCCAGTACTTTCAAAGGCATTAGAAATATTTGCCCTTTTAATAGTAAATTGTACAGGAGGTACAGGAAAATGAATTTAGATTTTATTGGTGAGACTATAAATTGCTTTTAAAAAGTAACATATTATTTAAAACTATATACATTATTTGTGTTTATGGTAAAAATGAGAGCTGTAAAAAATATATAAAAATTAAAAATTTCTCTTTCCTAATTATTTACACTGCAGTCTGGAGGTAATTACTGTTAGTATCTTTTACGCTCTTCCAAAATTTTTCCACAAATTTGTATGTGCATATCTTGTTTTAAATAAATGGGCTCATGTTATGTTCTACAATCTATTTTTCTCTAAGGAGAGCTAAGAAATTTTTATCCTACCTCATTCTATTTTAATAGTTGTCTAGTAATTGATGGTGTAGACATTCAATGACTGATTTAACCACTTTCTGACCAATAGACATTTAAGCTGCTTTTAGTTTTTTTCTACTGCACACAGTATTAAGGAGCTCTCGTAGCATAGTGCCTAAGGTACTTGACTGCTAACCAGAAGGCTGGCCGTTCAAACCCACCAGCCACTCCTCGGAAGGAAGATGGGGCAATCTACTTCTGTAGTGATACTGCCTTGGAAACCCAAGGAGGGGTCACTATCAGTCAGGACTGACTTGACGACACATAACAACAACAACAACAACTGTATGCATATAGTTGCCTATATAGTGTATTAAAATCTTTGCTAGTACAAATAGGTAAAAAATGCCTCATTTTACTTTGCACCTAGTTAATAGTAAGATTTAGCACCTTGCCACATATTTATTGTTGTTGTTGTTGTTATGTGCTGTCGAGTCAGACCCAACTCATAGCGACCCCTCCCCTTGGGGATCCGAGGCAGTATCACTACGGAAGTAGATTGCTCAGTCTTCCTTCCGAGGAGTGGCTGGTGGTTTGAACCACCAGCCTTGCCCACACAATTGTATGATTAGAAAATAAAATATGTATTTCTTAATCCTCCCTTAGGGACCAAGAAATGAGACTGTAACATGAGAGTAAGTTTCAATTTGATTTGTTATTCCATTTCTGAACTATCAAATGACTATTTCCTTTAGCTTGATTTTTATATTTTTATGGCAGTTAGGCTCAATATAACATTAATAATTAAGTTTGGAAATTGTAAATGGCTAATTGCCATTTGCAGTTTCACTTGGTGAAATCCTTTATTCCATATCTATGTACACATAAGGGAATAGGTCAATGTCATGTTCATTTTAAGTTCTGAGTTGTGCTTATTAAATATGAGTACCATCTGAGCTAACCCAACTTGGCAAATATCAAATTTGAGATTTTAATCTGTTTTTCAAAAGTTTTTAGTCACAGTAGTCAACTGGGCATGTACTACCAATGCAGACCATCCTGTTCTCTAAAAATCTTCACATTTCCATACAAAATAGTCCAATAGAACTTACTTCGAATTTGTTTTTTTATTTCCTTAGAAGGGTCCAGCCAATTCTGAAAAGGAAATGACATTTTGCATTTGAATCAAAGAAGAATAACAATTACTTTATGTTGATCAGAGACAGACATCCCATACTGTGATCATCCCCTGAGGGTAACATCCACTAATGACAGTGGTTGTTGGAAGACCCTCTGAGCAGTGGTCCTTCCCCTGCCAGGCACTGCAAGGCCCAGACACAGGTCTGAGAAAGAAATGAGAAAATCCATGTGTGTATACAATTCATGTTTGGCAAAATTCTTTTTCTCTTACAACCACCGCCTTCAGGGATTCAAGCTAACAGAGAAATAAGAGGAAAAAAATGAGGATAAGTCTATGTTCAAACAAGCTACCAGAATAAATTAAACATACATGTCACTTGATACAGTTGTGTTTTGGCCACTGGGTCCAACATCAGTGACTCCTGTGATTGCAGATTCTCATGCACCTACCTGGAAAATGTCCCTCACAAATGAACATTTACTTAACGGTTGTGATTTTTCTCACCCAGAAAATCAGACATTTAATAACGAAGTTAGAAGTGGTCTAATGAATTCAGTAGGTATTAAGTAGGACTCATTCCACAATACCAAAACAAATAATCTATGAAGAAAATTTCTGTGACTCTATTTCCACAACCAATACAATGGAAACATTCTTGATTTTTCAGGTAGTTGCAGGGATTAGTGAGGCAGAGCCCTGAATAGACTACGTTAATGTTAGAGTCAACAGAGGTTATTATAATATACATTAAATGTCTACTCAAAGCATTAGACAAGTTTAAGTCAGTAAACGACCCTTCCAGCTCATATTATGATTTGGTAAGAATATGAAAGCATGAGGTGAGTTAAAAACAGGACAGCAGCCTCTACCTTCAACTATTCTAACAGATTATGTCACAACCTTAGTATCTTCAGAGAATCTGGGATATGAATATGTTTTTTACATAAGTATCAATTTTCATTGGCTCAAATAATTTAGTATAATATGTCATCCAAAGAAAAAGCATTATACAAAATGCTTCTCTGGAATAATAAATAACTTGAGGTATGAAAAACAGAATAGTTCACTTCCTGTTTCCAGAATAATCAAGATTAAAGAAAACTGTCAACAATTTCCTTCATGAGGAAGTAAGGTGATGAACAGCATTTAGGAATTCAAAATATAAAGTATGGGGATGGGAGGGGAGGTGGAAAAATAATGTACCTACATAGTTTTAGTTCACTTGCATACAGTAATAAGCAGCTCAATCCATCATCTTTTGTATTACTTTTAATCTCTCACCTTTTGGTTTTCAGCGTCTCGATATGTAAGCCCAAAGTAGTCCTTTTCTAGCAGGTTCAAGTGTTCACATACTTTATCAAACAGCACTTGACCTCTGGAGCGCTTCTATGGAAAAACAAGATGGAAATACAAATGAACACCAAAGGTTCTGTCAACTGCCATGAATAAAACTGGATAAAATGTTGAATATTGTTGGCTGTAACTATTCAGTAAGTGAGCAACACAATCATCACTTCACCATCTCCTGTTTAACTAGTAAAAAAGCTCAACAGAGTGGAACTAAACCTCCAATGAGTTTGCACCTGGGGGAGTTAGCTCGGCTGCTACCCAGAAGTACCTCAGAAGAAAGGCCTGGCAGTATACTTTTGAAAAATCAGCCACTGAAAGCATTATGAAACCCAGCTCTCCCATGACACACACAGGGGCACCATCAGTCAAAGGCCACTTGATGGCAATGGGTTCGGTTTTGTGTTTAGCTTGGGGAAATGATGTGATGCTTGGAAACGTGAAATGTCCTACTGACAGTAAGAGTGTAAAGCATCCATGAAAGTCATGTGACCTCACTCAGTCCACCATATTATAAGATTCTCAGCCTGAGAATTTACTCTGTTCCTTGAATTAGGCAGATCCTCACTTATAACTTTGCATTCCAACCCTTATTTAGAAGTTTTAGTTATGAATCATTTTCTAAAACCAGTTAAACTAACTTCATTAGTTAATTTTTATTTTTTAACTAAAGTTGGTCATGAATTTCAGCTTTGTTTTACAGTTTTCACTTATTTTAGATCAAATCTTTCTAATTGTAACACAATTTTCATTAATTTTAAAGGAAATTTTACCAAACATAAATATAGCACATGAACAAATGTGCTATTAAATCTTTGACCAAGGAGCCCTGGTGGTACAATAGTTAAATGTTTGGCTGCTAACCAAAAACGTTGATGGTTCAAACCCACCATATGCTCCATAGAAGAACTACATGGTGATGTGCTCCCACAAAGATTTCAGCCTAGGAAACACTACAGAAGTTCTATTCTGTCCTATGGGGTCACTATGAGTTGGAATCAACTCAACGTCACATGATGTAGTAGTTAAGGTAATGTGTCAACTTGGCTGGGCCTGGTTTTTGAGTAGCTGGACAACTGTATGTAATTATGCCCCATGAGGAGACTGGTAATCAACTCCATGGTGGAATCTGCAGTGAGCAGCTAAGTAGCTGCCTTAGGGATGGGTTCTGCTTCCAGCATATAAGAAGCAGCATTAAGAAAGGGCTCTGGAGCTTTTGGCCTGCTTGAATCCTGCATGTAGCCAAGTCATTGTTCAGCAGCCTGGCACGTTTCCTGCCAATCTTGGGACTGTTGTTAATGGACGTGAATTAGTGGCCTGTTGTGTGGTCTGATAATCTTGGGACTATGCCATTTTACTTGTCAACCTTGGGTTTGTCAGCCTCAGCAGCCAGCAACTGCCTGAGTGAAGAGATGCCTCCGGCTCCAGCGGGCCAGGAGCACGAGGCAGAGCTGAAGCCCAAGGTCGAGAGGCTTTCACCCAGCTCACAGACCTGGCACTTTGAATGTGGACTTCTAGCTTCCTAAACAGTAAAAGAATAAAACCCTGTTTGTTCACCCATTTGTGGTATTTTCTATTAGAGCAGCACTGAAGAACCAAAACACATGGCAACAAGTATCTCTGACCATAAAGCAGTCAACTGGAGAAAGAAAAAAGGTAGTCAAAACTGGGGGAACAGCCTAACTTACTGTGATACTTCTTAAGTTGAAGTTATGTTTTCCTAGTTGGAAAATCAATTTTCATTAGGATCCTGTGATAGTTAAGGTTGTATGTCAACTTGGCTGGGCCTGGTTGAGTGGCTGGGCAGCTGGTAGTAGTTATTCTTCATGATGAGACTGCCAATCAACTCCATGGTAGGATCTACCACAAGCAGCTGAGTAGCTGCTTTATGGATGTGGTCTGCTTCCTGTATATAAGCAACAGCTTTGGGAATGGTCTCTAGTTTATAGCACGCTTGAACCCTTCATATAGCCGAGTCATTGTTCAGCAGCCTTCCATGCTCTCCCAGTCTTGGGCCTTTCAATGGACTTGAATTAGTGGCCTGCCATGTGTTTTGGTAACATGGGGACTGTGCCATTTTATTTGTCAACTTTGGGCTTGTTAGCCTCAACAGCCAGTAGCTGCCTGAGTGAAGAGATGCCTCTAGCTTCAATGGGCCAGGAGCAAGAGGCAGAACTGAAGCCCAAGGTTGAGGGGCTTTCACCCAACCTTGAGGGCCTGGACTTGGAACTCAGACTTCTAGCCTCCAAATATTGTAAGAATAAACTCCTGTTTGTTCAAGCCATCCCATTTGTGGTACATTCCTGTCAGAGTGGCACTAGGTTAAGTGGCACTAAGCTAAGCTAAGTAGCTCTGGTAGCATAGCGCCTAAGGCACTTGACTGCTAACTAGAAGGCTGGCAGTTCAAACCCACCAGCCACTCCTTGGAAGGAAGATGAGGCAAGAGGCAATCTACTTCCGTAGTGATACTGCCTTGGAAACCCAAGGAGGGGTCGCTATGAGTCGGGTCCGACTCGACGGCACATAACAACAACAACAACAACAACAGGCTAAGATAAGCTTCAATAATATAAAACTGACCACACTATATCATATTTTCATCTAATCCTTCCAAGGTTTTAAAAGATGGCCTTGGAGTCTGAGCTGGATTAACAAGCAATAAAAATAAGCTAAAATTACTTTTGCTTGTTTGCACTAACATTTCATTTCTAATGAAGTAAGCATATTTAAGATTTAATGTAAGAACAAGACATATGAAAATTGATAAACTACCTGTGTCAAAATAGTAAGTATCAAAAAGGCCTGCATGTGGTGTGTATTACTGTGCAACTGTTAATTATACTGAAAGCTAATTAATTCCTCAGTCCCTTCAAGCAGGACTATTTAGTAAAAAAGACAAATTTATGATAGAAAAATAAAGCATAAATTGTAACCAGTTAAATAATCAATGGTGAACTTGAAAAAACAGTTTAATAAAATATGAAAATAAATTACCTGTTAGCAAAACTACATAATAATATTGCTCACTGGATATGAATAAATGATATGACTATGAAAGGCTGCTTGCTGGCTTCAGTCTTTTCTTAATAACTGCAATATTATTTCTAAATAATTTCTGATAAATCATAAAGTTTTTATTTAAATTATGGATATTCTGATGTGTATACATAGTATTATCACTAGTTTACAAATAAGAACACAGAGGTTTAGAGAATTTAGACTCAAATAAGAATATTACATAATGGTTATGAGCAGTGGCTTTAGAAGCAGGAATATCTGGGTTGGAATCTCCATTATGCCCCTTACAGATAAGTAAACTCAGTTTTTTCCTCTGTAAAATGGTAGATGTTTCCTAAATAGAAACTGGGAAAATGATGTGATACTTAGAAACTTCAAACATGGATGCGATACCATGTGCTTCTTCAGAATGATTAATATTCAACAAAATAATGTATTAAAACTTGGTCAAGTGGTAGCATATACCAAGCATTCCACAAATAACACCCATTATTATAGCACCCAAACGCCTGACACTTTTTTCATGGAACACCTATACAACTCCCAGTGGCACCATATGCAGCTTTAGTAACACGTCCTGCTCTCTTTAGATATAAATTATCTGCTTGATACCTGAGTGCGTTAGCTACACCATATTATTCACACACACACACAAAACACACAAATATACAATAGTGTCTGGCCAAGTACTTTCTTAGTGAATAAACAAGACAGTAACAGAAACTTGAGAAGGTTTCTCCGGACTCTCTGCCTCCCCTACCTCTGACCCCAGCTCCTCCCTGGAGAGAAGACCACCTTGGTCACTGTTTACACTGGTTGTCTTCAGCTGCTGTATTCTTCCATCTGCCTAAGGGTGGCAAGGATTAGCTGAGGTACAGGCTGTTACACCAACTGGCTCCTCACTTTTCAGCTTCTCACAATTTACTTTCTATAAATGACCTATAGCTTCGCTTCACTAGAGTAGAGATCAGATCTTTTCTTACAGAGTATTTTAAATATTCTGAACGCTATAGGTCTTTTTTTTTTTTTCCAAGTCCTAAGAACTTATATCAATTGTCTATAATCTACTGTTAATGGTTTATGATAACAGTGAAATTCCTACCTCCTAAATACCAGTACAGCCACATGCCAGTGTGTGAACTCAGAGGTTTTGGAGCCTGTTTCCTAGGATTTCCTAGATTGGATTAGTGTGATTGTGGGATTGTGGCTGTAAAAGGGCTCTCTCTTGCATAAGGCACGTATTACTGATGAATTATTGATCTCTTTCTCTCCCCCTCTCCCCACCTCAGAGCCCAGATAGGCTTCCCTCCACTTTTCCACAGGGGAAATAAGAAAAACACACCATTGATGGAGTTGAGACATGGTATGATTTATTTGCCAGCCCTGGATTGGATCCCCTTAGATCTCTCCCAACTCTACAAAAGTCCTGGTTCATTGAACTCAGGCGCTTTTTCCCCAGCACATTATTCAACTTTTCAAGCCAATTATTTGCACTTGTCAACACTGGCATATACCTTTACATGATAACATTTAATATATAACCAAAGCTCAACAATTAGACTAGAAATGATGGAGAAATTATGCTCAATATTATGGTTATCAAAGTCATAATGTTTATTAAGTGATCACATGTAGGCACCTTGTGGTTTCACACAGCCATCATGAATCAGGAGTGGAGTATTTGTTGTGTTGTTGGTTGCTGTCAAGTTGATCCTGACTCATGGCAACCCCACGTGTGTCAGAGTAGAACTGTGTTCTCCACGGGGTTTCCAACGGTTGATATTTTGGAAGTAAATCCCCAGACCTTTCTTCTGTGGAGTCTCTGGGTGGACTCAGACCTACCTTTCATTTAACAACTGAGTATGTTGACTGTCTGCATCACCTAGGGATTTCTACTTTAACATTCATATAAAAAAGCCAAATTTTTAGTAAGACTAGACATTTTAGAAAAATTAAAACATTAGTTATCACACATAGCAATACTGAAACTAAAACCATTACAGAAAAGGCTGCCATTCTCC